GTGGCCTTTTCAGCCTAGGGTGGCCTTATAGCCTTCAGGGAACCCCCACTGGGAGGGAAACCGGCCAGGGGACAGCCGGTAGGACCGAGCATCATCTGAGTGGCCAGTCGCTGTGCCTCCACGAGTACCCCTCCCCCTATGAACATCGGCAGAGACTGCTTATTAATGCCAATTGGGGGGACCAACGGGCTATCTCCAGGTGGCAGGCGCCAAGCATGCCCAGGACGGTACATGAGGACAATGGGGATTGAACCCAAGACCTCCTGAATGCCACTTGCGTGCCTTACCAACTGAGATAGGCCGCTGGATCCTCAACTTTTCATACTCTGTAAACTAACAACCTTTTAACAAAAATATAAAGTCATCACTACAGCACATCTCAATGCACATATGAAAATATTGAAGCACAATTCTTGTGAAATTCTGCAAAAAGGCTTGTACTTCCCTGTTAAACTGAAAATCGTATTCCACCTCCACAGAAGTCCTTCTTCAATCACTAACCAAAAAAAAAAAAAAAAAGGACATGAGGAATTTTGAGGGTCCCTAACCATGCCCCATCATCCCCACCAGGCCTTTTTTTCCAACCCCTCCCTGCTGCCCACCCCTCCCAATTCCTAACCGATATATCAACGGAAAATGTGCTCCACCCCACCTCTGTCATGGACACGCAGCCCAGCATTGCACTTACCCAACGCCAAAAGTTTCCGAACCCTCAACGACATTATCCGTGGGGGGGGGCCCTCCACAAGATACATTTGGCACCGACGGCATGGTCGTCAGGTTCACCTCCATGCCTGCAAGGAAGATTGTGCCTGGGGTAGAACTCCCCCAGTGGCTTGATGAAAACCCTTCAGTGCCCGATGGGTATGCACTCGAATTCAAATCCTTCCGCACCCAACTTCCTGGAGTTTCCCCAGGCCCCTAAGAAATAAAACAAGCCAAAAGAAACAAAAAGCCGACTAATCAGCCACTTTGGAGATAAAACCAAGTCTACCATCAACAATTCTCTCCTGATTTCCCATACTTTCGCCATAATATGAGCAAAGGGATCCACAATCACTATCCTTTGGAGTCCAGCACTGAGTGTTCTTTTCAAAGAGAAGCAAGCTCCACAATCGCTGCTTGACCAAATATAGGACAGTGGAGGCTGGGCACAGAAGTAGTGAATGAATGGCTGCTGTTGCTGCAAGGAGAGAACCCAGAAGGACACAGAGAGTTTTTGGGTTGATTGTGTGAGGTTATGGCTTGAGAAGGACAGAGAGGCACATAGTTTTTGGGTTGATTGTGTGCGGTTATAGCTTGATGTGAACTCGGTTGGGTTTGGGTGAGGTTGGTGGGTTGATTGTGTGCGGTTATAGCTTGATGTGGACTGGATCGGGTTTGGGTGAGGTTGGGTTGGGTGGCCGTCAGGTGGAAGTTGGGTTGGGGTTGGGTGGGAGTTGCGTTGGGGTGCGTGGTTGGGTTGGAACAGGGCTGGGGTTGGGCCAGGGTTGAGCCGGGGTGCCGTTGGGGTAGTGCAAGGGTTGGGTTGGGGTCAGCTCGAGGTTGGGTCAGGGATGGGGCGGGGAATGGGTTATTTGCATTTGGGTTGGCCGGGTTGGTTTCATTTGCTGTTTTCGACTGTGATCAGTCTCCTTCGGTCTGTCCAGTTCAGTTCAGTTCAGTTGGTCTGGGTTGGTGGGTTTGATTTGGTTTGGTTTGGTTTGAGTTGGCGTTTTGGATTTGGAGTCTCTTGTTGTGTTGCCTTGTCTTCTCTTAGTCTAGTCCAGTCTCGTCTTGTCTTGTCTTGTCTTGTCTTGTCTTGTCTTGTCTTAGCACCTCCCATCTAGTCTCGTCTAGTCGTGTCTTGGCTCCTCTCATCTCATCTCGTTTAGCTCTGCTTTACCAGTGTGGTTCGGCCACGACGAGGTGCTGTACTATGTCAGCTGCATGTAGTACTATGTGGGATGGGTGCAGTACCATTTGGGCGGGGTGCATTACTATGTAAGCTGCATGTAGTACCATGTGGGCTGGGTGCAGTGCTGTGTGGGTTCGGTGGTAAGTGCTATGTTCGCCAGGACTGATACCATGTGGACTGCTTGCGGTACTATGTGAACAGGATGAAGTAGTATGTGGCCCAAGTGTGGTACTATGCAGGCGAAACAAAAAAAAAGCAGTCCAGCTAGGTCTTACCAGGCCCGGTGTTTTCCCACGTCGTTACATGGTAAACACACATTACGGCCAGTAAGCAGATCATGGGTTCGTACCCTGAGAGGATGTTGGAACCGAATGAATCTGGTGAATATTAACACAGGGCTCACGCTGTCCTACAGGATGAACCTGTGTGCTTTCAATCCTTTTGATATCTAGAACAGGGCCACAACCTTGACGTATATATCATCATTCAACTGACCGGTCCCAGGTAAGTCACAGTTCTATTTATCCATAATTACATGGGTGTACCATTCAGCAACATGAGCTGTGCATATAAAATGGATTCCTTTTTTTTCATTCTTCAGACGTACTGTGATCCGGCCCTGAGCTAGGCACTCCATCTGTTCATTGAATTTCATTCGTTCCTTTTTTTAATTCTTTGACGTCTTAAGATGCTTATGTGACCAGATACATTCTAAGCAGGCGTGATCAGATGTGAGAAGCCTTTCAGGCCCTCTCGCACTCTGGGTCCTTTCATTTTCCCACCCCACTTCTCCATCCCAGCCAGCCGCAGCCTCGTAACAGGGTGTGCCACGTGGACTCTTACACTATTTTTAATATCAGTTATAAACATAGATTGCGGATAGGGTAACTTCATGGGATAGTTGGCTGTGTCCCTGGCAGCCTCCCGAAAATGCGAGTATGATTCCTTGGGACGCGGTCTGAGAATCCAGACAGGGCCAAACCCCCAACTGGCCAAAGAGCAAAGAGCATTTTGAAACTGCTAAGGTAAACATCCAAAAAGGAGGGGGAGGGGAGTGGAGGGGGGGGGAGGGGGTGGAACCAGAGCAATGCTTGCTTCCCACAGCCTTCTGCCCTCTGGAAAGGTAAGAGAAACCCAAGCTGGAAATAAACCACAAAAAGAAAGACCATAATTCAGAAAATGAACCTGGTCACGATAACTGCCAGAGATCACCAGTCTCACAGCCCACCACAGCGTAAGGACTGTGAAAAACGGCCCTCTCTTTCTTTTCTCTTTTTTTTTTGTTAGACCTGTTTGACGATATATATATATATATATGACAGTCCCTTCAGTAGTTGGCCACTTGTCGTGTCTTCTTTCTATGTCTTCTCAATGTCCTTTCCTTTTCTGTTTAGCCTTCTTTTTTAATTTCCTGCTTTCTGCTCATTCTCCCCTCGTTTGCTAAGGTCTACAACTGCTTTGCTCTAACTTGAGGTATGATGACCACAGAGAGACAGCCCAGCAGCCCTCCACAGTTCCGAGGGCGCATAGCAAGAGAATGCCCCAAGTTGTTCTGGAAGACTGGAAGCCAATTAGGCTTTTCATTTTCTATTTCTTATGCATCCGGAGTCCGGACACACCCGGACAAACCGAACAGACTGTCCGGATGACTGGTTCTTCCGGATCTTGTCCGGCTACTATCGAACAGTCCAGCTCAATCCCGTCACAGGTCAGACTGTCTGGATGACTGATTCTTCCGGATCTTGTCGAGCTATTATCAAGCAGTCCAGCTCAATCCTGTCAGCTCCGACCGAACGTCCGGCTCAATCCCATCACAATCCAGCTCAAACCATGGTTCAAATCCTTCTGGATAGAACAATGTGTTAAACCACCACTACATCTCTCAGTGTTGGGAAAAACGGGAATACACGTCACACCGCATTTTGCGGGGGTCTGGACAAGGCTCGGAAGAAAGGAAAAGTCTGGCCCCTATGGGCCCGTTTATAAAAACAAAAAAAAAAAGAAAAAGAAGAAGTAACTGCAACTTGAGGTTTGTTGTCGGGGAAGGCCGTGACTAGAGGCGTACTCACTTCAACACTTGGCCTGCCATTGTGTCTAGATTCACCTGGAGTTGTTTTTGTTGGGTTTCTTTCTTTTGTTTGGCTTTACATGCCCTGCCAGCGAGGCAGGGCGTTATCCACGGAGAGCTGAAATGCCCTCACGCAGGGCACTCTCACACTACTACTTCCTACAATGTCCTCACGCAGGGCACTCTCACACTACTACTTCCTACAATGTATCCAACCGTATTCCAGTCCAACATGGTGTTGCTTTTTTTTTCCTCTTTTTCCCTCACTTTCTCACCTGACGACGCGGCTCGCATGGCACACTCACACTACTGCTCAGAAGAATGTATCTAACCACGTTCCAGTCCATAGTATTTTTTTGTTCCCCTCACTTCCTGATCTCCCGACAACGCCCTCACTTTCTGATCCTGGCAACGCGATTGTTTCTTTGCTTTTCCTTAATTTTTATTTTTTTTAAGAATGGCCGCTGTGAAGAAACCTTTTTTTTTTGTGTGTGCAAGTACCATGGCTGTGCCAGCAACCGGCCGGTTGGACCGGGCCCGGTCCAACCGGAATTCTGGTTGGGCCCAAAAGTGGGTCAAAAAATTATATATATATTTATATCGTCATATATATCGTCACAAATAGAACTGCCCATGGTTGGACCGCACTCGCCGATATCTCCCCGAATCCGCAAAGAAAACTTTGAACAGAGAAGCTTCGTTTGGGGGGTTGAGGGTGGGGGGGGGTATTTCAGGGGTTGAGGGTTGGGGGTTGGGGGGTTTATGGTGAGGGTGTTAGTGGTGGGGTTTCAGCAAGCTCGGGCTTCAGCAGACATTGACAACAACGTACCTGGCTTTCTGCAAATGTTAACCTTCCGCATACACTTTGAAAAAGGGGCTGGGGGTGTTAGTGGCAGGGAAGGGACGGTACTTCCCACCCAAAAACTTTGAAAAGGTTGGGGGGGTTATAGTGTTAGGGGGTGCTTGTCACTGCTGTCTGGTCCAAGTTGCCCTCGATACTGGTAGGGTGATGGTCCTGACTGCTGGTCACACTGAGGTAGGATAGTAGGGATAGGGGGTGCGCTGGGAGCATTAACGTGGGGAAAGGTAGGGAAGGTGACCTATCCTGTCAGGACAACCACCGGCTGCTGCTGCCAGTGATCACTGTGGGTCTAGTCCTTAGCCTCTACAACACCCTGGGCTTAAAAATAATAATAATAATAATAATAATAATAATAATAAATAAATAAATAAATAAACTGATGCGCTACAGCCAACCGAAGGGGAACCGGCCCAGTCGACCGGCCGGTAGGACCGGTCCGGTTCCGGTTGGGGGAGGGTCTCCAGGTCCTACCGGGTTTGCAGCACTGACGAGTACCAAAAAAAAAACTTGAACGGCACCCAGGCTCGCAAAACTCGGCGTGCAGTGAAATTCAGGGTCAGGAAAAACAGGATCGGAGGTAGTGGTGGTTTAAGTTTCACCCCCCTTACAAAGGGGAAAAGGACCCCCCCCCCAAAAAAAACAAAAGAAACAAAGACTGGCATTTGGAATCCGGGCCGTAGGGTCTTGCTGCTGGCAACCTGTCAAGGGCAGAGAGGAGGAGGGAGGTACACAGGGGTCGAAGGAGAAAGGGTCCTGTTCTGACACTTCCCAAGCAGCAATGTAAAAGAGTGAAATCCCTATTCCTCCAAGAGAACACGACGAAGGCACACTTACAACCACAGCCATACCAGGAGAGGGATCAAAACAGGGGGAAGAGGAAAAACGTGGCGGCGGCCAGGGGAGGGGGGTGGCGGGGGAGCCAAAGGGGAGAGAAACGCAATCAGAAACCTAGATGGAAGGAGAGCATGGCGATGTGCAAGTCATACCATTGCAGCCTTGTTGAACATGTCAACGAAAGTTTGTGGCTTCTGAAACAGCGCATAACTTTCATTTCCGGAAGTCGGGAACTTCTGGAATGCAGCCATCGAGACGGACCACATAAACAATCAAGGAAGACATTAGGAACGCACGGATTAGCGATTTAACAAGACAGGAAAAAAAAGAGAGAGAAAAACAACCATATGGAATTATAAATATTTAACACGACAGATTTGATATTTAAACCACCAGTACCTTTCCCACATATCACAGTCCGACCCCCCGGCTACCGGTATGCCGAGCCTTTCCGAGCCTCGAGCTACCGGAGGCTACCGGTAGCAGGAAAGTCGGGGTTTAAAAAAAAAAAAAAAAAAAAAAAAAAAAAAAAAAAAAAAAAAAAAAAACGAAAA